AAAAAAAAAAAAAAAGAAAGGGGAGGGAAGGGGTCCCCGAAGTCTTGAGCAGGTCTGAGTGGGATCCCTGGGTCAATGGTTGTCCATCTACAGCCAGACTCCCGGCTAGCCCCCTTCCTGCAGAATTTCCACCAGTGACAGCGGGTGGGGAGGGAAGGGGTCCCCGAAGTCTTGACCAGGTCTGAGTGGGATCCCCAGGTCAATGGTTGTCCATTCTCGAAACTGCAACCTGTAATCCCTCTTCATATCCGTCTGCGGATCCTCCTCCTCTCCCCTGCGCTGTTCCATTTGCTTGTCTTCCGACCATGTCACCTTGGCTATCCAGCCCTCCCTCTTCCCTCCCAGCCATTCCTCACAGAACCGGGAAATGATCCGGTCTGCATCCCTCCTGAAATGCACGCTGTCCAACTTCTCCCTCACGGCCTGCCAACGGGCGGTGATCTCGGTCTGCACCAGTTGCCTAAAATGTTCCGTGACCTCCCCCTCCTCCACTCTAGCCCCCTCCAACTCCAGCACACACCTTCTCCACCAGATGACCCAGAGTACGGACCTTCTTCCCAGACGGAAAATGTTCCAAGCGTATTCGCCTTTCTGGAGGTTTGGGCAGTGTCCTAGCAGGATCGCCCTCCAGTCCCATGGCCACTGTGACTCGGGGAACATCTGTACCCAGATCCTCTCCCACCACCGCCACAGCAGTACTAATGATGGGCACTGCATGAAGATATGCTCCACCGTCTCCGCTCTCTTCTGTGGAGGGAAACTGGATATACACTTTCGGCACCAAGGCAGGGCACGGCCTTGCTGCTCCAGCCCGGTGTGGTCAATCAGCCAATCGTTGGTGGGTAAGCAGCGGTGTGCAATTTGCCATTGCAATGCTGAGATCTTGGCTGGTCTCGACTTATATCTTGGAACCTCTTGATAGGCCTTAGCAGGCCCCTATCTATGTCTAGCTGGCGCTGCCACCTGTCCTCCACCACATCCCGAAGGCATCTCCTGGTCCTCAACATTCTGTACGCCGTTTTTGCTCTCAAGTTGGTTAACTGTACCTCCTTCTGATGCCCTCCCCCTCCTTGGGTTGTCGTGTTCCCCCGCTTCCATCTCCATTCTTTTGGATCCAGGGGCAGCTCTTCAATCGGGGTTCCTGGTCTGAACGCTCTCCATCTCGTTCCTTCTTCCAGAATCCTGATGCGAAAGACCTCCTTTCTCTTTCTCCACTCGAAAGGTTGCGTACTCCCAATTAAGTTGTCATCCCTCCCTATCGTGAACATCCCTCCCTATCGTGAAGTATTCCCCTAACACCTCCTCCCGCCCCACCAGGTGAACCTGTCCTACTTTGTCTGTCGCTCCCTCCAGTCCCACCCAGTCCCCCTCTTCCAGGCGAGGGCCCCTCCACAAAATGGAGCATCATGCTAAAGGCAGACTCTCTATCAGTTCCTCGAGTACATCCTGAGTCCATTGGCAGGAACGCATCCACCTCTTCATTCTTTCTGTCTCCTTCCAATCCCTGGCTTCCACATCTCACAAATCCCCCACCCTTCGCACCCCATGCTTCACCCACCCTTTCCATGGGGGGTCAGAGCTGCATCGCACCTGTCCGTGGGAGTCGGTGATCCACCTGTTGCCAAAGAGGGGCTGCCTGAAGACTTCTTCCCACCTATCTGGCATCGGCCCGGATGGTAATGGCAGCTCTCTCCATGCCTTTAAGAGGCGCGGCCAAAACTCTTCCACTGGCTCTCCATTCTTATATTTGCACGCGATGCGCCAGAATCTATCATCGAGCCAAACCAGTGGATCAATTTCAGGATGGGTTTCTGGAGCGAGGTCTGCTATTTGTGCCAGAGCTAACGGGGACCAAGAAGAGGTGGGCGGTCTGCTATTTGTGCCAGAGCTAACGGGGACCAAGAAGAGGTGGGCAAAAAAATCAGAGTTTGAATCCATCGCAAGCTGAGGGCCTGGAGTTGG